AGGAGAGTGAGACAGGGAGAGGGAGAGAGAGATGGAAGAGTGAGAGGAAAGAGAAAGAGACAGGGGGAGGGAGAGAGAGATGGAAGAGTGAGAGGAAGGAGAGAGAGACAGGGGGAGGGAGAGAGAGATGGAAGAGTGAGAGGAAAGAGAAAGAGACAGGGGAGGGAGAGAGAGATGGAAGGGTGAGAGGAAGGAGAGTGAGACAGGGTGAGGGAGAGAGAGATGGAAGAGTGAGAGGAAAGAGAAAGAGACAGGGGAGGGAGAGAGAGATGGAAGGGTGAGAGGAAAGAGAAAGAGACATGGGGAGGGAGAGAGGGATGGAAGAGTGAGAGGAAAGAGAAAGACAGGGTGAGGCGGGATGGATGAACGGAGACAGAGATGGAGAGAATAAGGTAGAAGAGACGACATGCTGCTGGCTGCGAGGGGGACAGCTGGTCAGCTGCTGCTCTGTTCTGGTGTGGAGATCTGCCCCGAGAACAGTCACCCTGCTGAGTGTACACACACACACACACACACACACACACACACACACACACACACACACACGCAGAAGGTTGCATGTATCTACAAGTACATTAAACACAATACAGGCCAGATAAAACAGTCTCAAACGCATATTTTAGATTTATGGAGTATATTAGCGCTGCATAGTTCATCTTATTTGTTAGACTAGTGTAACATTAAAACAGCAAGAAGGATGTTCTTTTTAGAAGTCTAAACATGTGTTAAAATACCATGAATAAGGTATAATGGTGCTTCTGAGCGTCCCGGACTACAAAAAAGATGACAAAGAATTTTAACAAAACCTCTCTCAAAAATAATCGCACCATGGTCATTTTCATATATTATTCAAAGACAATGAGAATCATGTTGGAAAAAGTATTAAATCAACTATAACGATATTTTCTACCAAAGACCTCGATTAAATGTGACGATATTGTGACCATTACAGGTCATTTGATCTGTCGTGTGTAAAGACAAATAATACATATTGTGATTTGAATATAACAATTTATCAATCTTTAGTCTTGTATCACAATTCCAGTATCAACATATTGCCCAGCCCTAGTTTTACTGCACAAACAGAGGGTTTGAAGAGGAGGTGTGGAATAAATTATGGGCGGTATTAAGATAAAGGCAAACATTTGAAAGAAAGGTCAGATGGAAGGAAAGGAAAGGACGAGAAAATCCCTGAAGAGTCGTCGGGCAGACTGCTGGAAATCATAAGAAGAGAGAGACAGAGAGTGATTATGTAAAAGCGAGAGATGGAGAGGGTATCAGGCGGTGGGATGTAAATAAGAAAGTGTGGCGGGGGAGAAGGAGCGAGAGCAGAGAAGATGGCAGGGAAAGAAGAACGGGAAGGAGAGGGGAAATGTGGGAATGCGAGACACTCTCCCGGATCACTTATAGCTGACACAGCCCTGCCCACATAATGAAGCTCTGACTGCACAGAGCTGAACAAAGCAATCCTCCTTCCTTTGTTTCCTCCAACGACTGTGAGCACAATCAGCACAACGGCCGGGACTCTGCCAGCGAGGTGTTCCCACAACTGCCTGAGCATCCCTGTGATACAGTATTAAAGCGGGAAGACCTCTAACAAAGTGGAGAGGAATCTTCTGAGGAAACACGTTTTATAGTGCGTGATAAATAAAACAGAAAAAAAAAATGCATAAACAGGACCGCAGCTAACATTGAGGACACGTCTTCTTTTTGTATCCGGGGGCAACCTTCAACTCTACAATACACATCAACAATCAATATACAGTACACCTCGTTTCATAGACTCATTCAAGGATTTAGTGAGTGAAAATACTTCGGTTTTAATCAGGGCCGTCCCTGGCCAACATGAGGCCCCCACGCAGTCAGCATGATCGGCCTGTCGGGAGGGACGGCCCTGGTTTGAATACCTCTAGGGCTTGGACTTTAGTTTTTCTGGCTATAGATAATTAAAAGGAAGGAGCCATGCTATTGCCATGTCTCAAAAAGGCAGCGTCTGTGTACCGATTTTACTAGACGGAAATATCTATAATGAAAAAACGAATTATGAAATCTCTGTGGTGTCCAAGTAATACATTTCACTTTTGCTTTAGCCGGT